CTATTTTCAATTAACGCATTGATCATTAACTAATATAGACTATTGTGCACAGTTTCTTTTATCGAGAGTTGACCGTAATTTGTATGACAACGATTTGTGGTTCATTTTTTTGCACCTTGTCAAGTTAACTAATATTTTTATTATTTTTGCTTGTGACGCGACTTTTTTCTGTTATTTAAACATACCACCCCATTGTTTTCTGTGCAAATTGTCAAAGTACTGTAGTATTCTAATATTGCTGAATGAAATAATTCAATTTCTTTACGTAAATTATATTGCCATGTCGCATACATGAAAATGACCGCTCATATTTATTAAATTATATATGATGTAAAAAGAATACAGCTGTTTAAGAGCACGGCCAAAATAATTTAAAAGTTTTAACAAATGAGTTCGCAATAATGAAACATTAAAAATAATTAACGGTTTTGAAATGTAAAATGAAAACATTATTTCACTTGTCGCCGAACCATTTCCTAATATATAAAACTGATAGCAACTACGGTAAATCCAATTATCAACGAAATTCCAAAGTTAAATATGGGTTCATTATGAACAGCTCCAGATGATGACTTAGGACTAGGTGTTGATGCTAAAATATAAATTAATGTTAGTAAACTTATTTCTGTACACGAGTATAAAAAATTTTATGACTCAAAAACATACAAGGCGTGCTAGCAGTCGCGGGTGTTACATTTGTAATTTCAGTAGTGGATTCAGTGCTAGTAGAATTACTAGTGGATGAAAGGGTGGGACTAACGGAAACTGGAGCAGAACTAACAACAGGCGAAGTAGAAGATTGGGAAGCACTACTAGAACCGGAAGGGGAAACACTGCTAGAACCAGAATTGGAAGCAGTACCAGGACTAGTTGAAGCAGTATTAGTTGAAGAGGCGGCTGTAGTGGAAGTCAGTCTAGAAGCTGTACCGGCAGTGATAATGGCACCACTGGCTGAAGCGGCAGTAGAAGAAGCCGTGTTGGTGGTGGCTGATCGCCAAATGGTAAATATGACGTGTTAAAAAGATGAATGGATCAAGCAGCCCCCTTTTTTATAAAAGAATATACTAATACATACCTCCATTTACTACCACTACTGAAAATCCAATGAGAAGAGAAATTAGAAGAAATACTTGTGCTTTTAAGAGAGACGTCATAATGTTGCGACAAAGCATCGCATTTTTGAAAAAATTTCCACCCTTTATAAAGCTGCGATTGATTGCGATATTCTCGTATCACTGTTCTTCATGGAGGTCGTACATTGGCTACGCTTGCATCTGCTTACATTGTTTGCTTTAAGTTGAACACCAACTTCCAGACTTGGTCACCTCACAAAATCTCCACAATCTATTTTAAGTTTAACATTATTGTCTAGAGAGAAGAGATTATACCATTGCATCGTCGCACACCGTCGGCCATATAAGCTAATATAGTACCTTTAATTGTAAGAAGTCAAACGATTTTTTATTCGCGCACTCACAAATAACATTCGTACCATGTATTCTTATTCTTTAACGAATTATTAGGCTCAATTCAGTATTTAAGTTCTAACATACCATAGCTAATTAACTGGAGAGCGTTAAATGAAATATTCTAATTATTTTACATCATTACTTAATGGCACTTTAGACATTATATGCGCATATGCTTACTTTCTTTCAACAAAAATTAATATATATTTTATATAAACTGTATATTTAAATAGTAAGCCATTATACAGTATGTACTATTTTTATGACCTAGCGAACGTCAAAATAGTGCAGAATATTTTTAAATATTTGACAAATAAAGGCTTATTCTGCAATTCAAAAATCATGTGTCAAAAATGGAATTCGCTAAATGAATTTTTCGGTATTTCTTCTAAATGAGAATACAAATTAGTAATTTTGATTATTAATTTTTTTTAATCTATTCATAAAAAGCAACATTTCAGATGCAAACAATAATTATAATATAAAACATTTTCATCTTTAAATAATATACTATAAATAAATTTTAAAAATATGTCAGATAAAAAAATTAAATTATTGAATTTTTAAAAAAAACTCAAAGAGAATCATTTTTTAAGTTTCAAAATCTTCGAAAAAATTTTTTTTGATTCTTTTTTCAAAACTTTCTAGGATTTATTTAAAGTTTTAAAGTAAAAAATATATTTTCAAAAACTAAAATATGAAGTATATTATAAATATAATAATTAAAAAAATAATAAATATATTTTTAAAATAAAAAATTTAATACAAATTTAATAACTTTTAATTTTTTAAAAAATAACAATTATTTTTCTTTAATTATTAATTTTTATTATAATATTTTGGTTTTTTTTTAAAAAAAAAATCCTATTTCTATTATTAATATGTTATTTTATCAAAATATTAAATAAATATTTATAAAATATACAAATAAAAACTCTTTCCACTGATCCTCTGCCCACATACAAAAAAGATGTTCACAAGAAATTTTTTATTTCTTTGCTAATAAAGTTTTAATATTATCCTTAAACCAACTTGAAGTTTTACTTCAAAAGATACTCACATATATCTTTTCTTC